CAGCTGAACACGGTCTTGCATGTAGTTTTGGTGAGAGATGTGAGAGACTGAGATGATTGGGTAGAACTGTTTGATTGGGTCTTCCTGACCATGTGCTCCAGATGGAAAGTGCAACGGGTCTCGTTCAGGGTCGGACCCCCTGTGAGCAGACCTACCTCGAAGCCTCGGGTGATGTTTAGAGGAAGCCCTCATTAAACGTTACTGCCAGCCCAGGCCGAAAAGGAGGGCATCATGTTGAGGCCATGAATCGGCAGCGGCCATTCTGCTGCCGATACCACCTGATAACTCGGGCTTGAGAGCTCGACGTCCAAGCAGGGTAGGAAACTCCGATTTAGAGATTTGCTATGCTTGTTGCGCTCGACCAAAGCTTCCAATGCAACTCCTACCCGACTTGCTAGCAACTGGCTGCCCCGATCGGTGAGGAGATGGGATTGGGCCTGGCTGAGCCGGCCCGCCCGTTGCGCGCGCGAGGGCAAAGTCTCACTGCGCCATGATCCTCACAAAGGGCCTCACCGTCACCGCCCATGCATTTGGAACTGCGGTTTCTGCAAGGGGTGTATAAGATGCACTTCATGCAGCGCAGGACCTGCAACCTTGGTAGAATGAGGAATCCGGCGACAAGCTCCTGGCACAGAGCACGCACGACCACGAGGATTTTCCGTCAGGAAGCCCCGAACCCTTCGCATCCCTGAGCATCGTGTAGAACCGAATGTGGTCACGAGTCCTCATGTGGAGGATGGTGCGTTTCCTCAGGAGCCGCAGCAGCTGACATCCGGGCCAAAGATGCCCTGTCGCTTGCACAGCGCTGCCAAATCAAGGTTTGACTCTCCAAGATTTACAGTACCTCATTTCGGCATAAGCGAACATCTCCAAAAAATGCTGTCTGCAAAGGTCACGAGTGTGCAGTACCCTTACCCAGCGCGAACCCTGGGTGTGTGGGACACAGTTGTTTGTTCTCGCTCTTCTCTCTTTCTCTCCTGAACCAAACCCCCTTTGCAAAAGATGTCTCCATGTTTATATCACTCAGAAAATCTATATGAGTGAAAAAACATTTCACTAGTTTCGATGTGAACGAACTTTGCCCATCGCAGACTGCCCGACAGCGTGAGCTTCGACAGTCCCAACAAGCCCAAGGGGGACTGGTCGGCTTCGGACGAGCTAGAGGACACCCGTTTTTGAGGGCGCAGTGATAAACATGTTTACAAGTTCGAGGGCTAAGGGCTTTTAGCGTTGTTGACTCCGGGGCCTTTCGTGAAGGGGAAGGACTGCGCAAGACCGATCCTTCTTAAGGTTTTGCTGCGCCGCATGGGGTGCGAGCGTGTTGCGGAGATCTCCCTGCGAAAGGTTTCTGGTTCATGGGGAAGCTCGGAACTGAAGCATCCCAGGAGCTCTACGAACACGACGTTCCTTACGTCAATCGGGTCCGGCGCTCGGCTCGCCAGGTCCCGGCCCCGACAACGTAACAGATGACGTTTCCACTGGCGACGTAGACAGGAGCTTGACAAAGACAATTTTCATGAGGATCGGGGAGTCACGCGCAAACTTTGCCACTAACCTTCGCAAGGAACGTGGCTCGACACACCACACCTGTGACAGACGACACTTAACTCGAGGGAGAACTGTCTGTAACAGTTGACGCGTACCAGCGACGATAATTTGAGGGTCGAAAAACGATCACGAGGATCGCGGCCCGAGTGAGTAAAGCATTAAAGGGAGAAAGCAAGGAAGCAACCGCACACTCGGTGCACTTAGATGTATTCTGATCCCATACAAGAGTTGGTAAGCATGCAGAACCCGCCATGAGTGATGACCGACACCCGACGGCAATGACCACACGACAGGGTGGTGCGGGTGGGGGTGGGGAATTCCCCGTCTCGCAAAGATCCGAAGATTTTCCGGCAGAGGTTGGCCCAGCAGCATTTCTGTGCGATGGCGCCCAAGCTTCCACCTCCGAAACTCTTGTCACCTAGCGTGATTGAAACGGTGTGCCGTTCCTTTATCTCTTGGACTTGGTACGCGCGTGGACAACGTAAGCAGAATCGGCTCAACATCAAGTGCTGCAGGTTTGCATCGACAACAAGATCAATGTTGGCAAGTGGTACGAGGTGCTTCTACAGAAGATCAGATTATTCTCATACTCTGTGGTTGTTGACCTTATTAGCTACAAGTGGCGCTTTAGTCACAGGTGTATCCCAACAGGCAGGTTGGTTTGTCGTAATCTGCGGACAATCAACTATGCATGTTTGTGGGTCGTCTTAATTGGTTCGGAAAGGTGTTGCTTGCCTCATCCTTCCACACCCTACTGAGACCCTACTGGAAGCAGAGCACGCATGTACGATCCTGTCAAGGAGACCCGAAAGAACTTCACATGCTGGTGCAGATGCTTTGAAGCTGCGAGGTCTATCGGAATCCCATGGTGACAAGTGTGGAGGACATCCGGCATAATGCCGGATCCGCTCACGGAGCGATCGTAAGGAGTTCATGAATGGTTGGGGCTATGCAGCAATCACAAGCAGACCTCCTTCAACCTTAGCACATGTTGGAGTCACTTTACAAGCACCCTACAACAAGTCGCTTGAGTTGGGATTGCGACACTGGTCTTGGTGTGATGGGGCTTACAGTAAGGCCCCTTGGCCAAAGCAGGTTTGATGAGGAGAGAATGAACGGAATACGTATGTTATTCGAAATCAAGACAGGCTTGAATCTGCCCAGAATGAACGGACATGGTCAGAATGCAGCGAAATGCAAAAGGAGTCGAAGTTATCTGCGTAAGCTGCCAGGTAGCATACTGCAGCGCCTGATCAGACACGGGCGTGAGGATCTTGATCAGGAAAAATTATATTGGAAGCATCATGAGCGTTCTTTCCTTTCGTCCGCTACGGTTGTCGCTTGAACACCAGTGCCCTACGCAGAGCCAGGACTTGTATGACACGCAGAGCAAGGTCAAAGAGCTGGACATGCCACTCGGGCGCGGCTTTGGTGCTGCCCAGTAGCTATACAGTGGATGGACCGACCATGAGTTCAGGACACGCTTAAACGGTCGGCCGCCGGTTAGACATGAGATTGCTGTGTCAAAAGGCAGTCCAACATGTTTTGCTGATCACAAGCCCCTATAGAGTAGCTGCGCGTCGTCACCAGCATGACTTTGAGCAGTAGGGATTGGCTCGCCGACGATACGGCATGCCTCTGTGGCATGAAGAACAGACACTTGCCGAGAGTCCCGAGCAGCTTCTGAGGCAAAAGAAGCCGGGCCTTCGCATTTTTGCGTGGGATATCGAAACGACCAAGGCCGCTGCTGATGCTGGGTTCCTGCTGTTCAGTTTGATGGACCTGAAAGGTTGGTATGTCAAACGAGCTTTCGGAGTCTAGGAATACTGGATATGTGATGGAATGGGATTTCGGGACTCCGAACTTTCTGGAGCTATTGGTACGGAGGCTACGAATGATGTCGATTAGATCATGTGTGCAGCTGCCATCACAGCTGATTCGGAGTTTCACGATCCACCTGGTTCCTGAGGGTAGTCTCTTTCCGCTCTGGGTTTATCCCACAGGAGAGCCACCCGGAGACCCGGTCACAGGTCACAGTATGCCACGTTGCAATCCCCAAGTCCTACAGGAGCCTCTGAAGTTCCCTGACTCCGCCCGGGACAAAATCACAATGATCTCCATCATGGTGGCCCTGGCCTTAACCAGGGCTTTGATTTACAGAAGTTTGCAGGATTGAGTGTTTATGGCAGACAAACTTCCAGGAAGGCGTTTCGCAGATTTGTGTGTCTGCACATGACCAGGCTTTGATGCTATACCAAGACATGCAGATGCACGACAAATATCAATGCTCGGGCTGCACACATGCTAACATATTCAACGCATAGTATTCTTCGGATGTACAGACATGCATGTGCAGGCACTAGATGTGAATCAATTTGAAGCCGCATACCGGCGGACACGTGTACCCATGTGTAGAGGTAACTGCAGCCCGAGCGTTGATGTCTTGTTCAGGCTCCGGATGTGTATCCGGGACTTATTCTGTCATGTATGACTCAGATCTTTGGACTGATGGCATCAAGTACAGTATAGGACCTACTGTAGGTGCCGTAACTATGCTGCAGTTTTGCAACCGCGAACTTGCATCTTGTACCTGACACCGCAAGCCTCTTTTGCTGATAGATGATTGCGATGTTTGATCATCTGGGTTGGCTTTGGGATGTCGCTTTGCTCCGTCGCCGAATAGGAGTAGTGGCAATTCGGCATGGTGCTCGGACGGGGTTGAGGCTGGTACCTGCTGGTGAAGTAGCTTCTACTACACGATATATGCATTGAAAACTTTGGAGGAACAAAAGCTATTTCCAGGAACACAGCCACGGATCGCGGTATGCGTGCAACCTGTGTACAGTTTCAGCAAGACTACGAACAGAGCGGTGCCATTTTCTCCAACACGCTGCCTAAATGCTTGCAGTACCTTCGACAAGGACTCAGACAAATGGCTGTGTCCACAATCCAAGGATGGATCCGGTTTCCTGATCGTGAACCGCGCGGAGGCTTTGAAAAGACCTCTGGAATCACATACTCGGAAAGTCCCGAAGTAGGATGCAAGATCAGCAACAGCTTTGTCACTGCCAGCACTCAGTCTTTCGCCCATGAGGGCGATTTTGTGGCACACTTGGCTCCACTAATTCGACCCACTCGTGCTTATGTATAGGGTGTCTAAGCATGTTTGCGCCCGTAACAGGTGTGTCAGGTGCAGACTTTGTGTCCACCACGGCTTAGCGGGATGAAGCCCTTGCCCTGCCCCTGTGTTCAAGCATGTGTGGCATATGTCATCCTGCCATTAGCATACATCTTCAATAGTAACCAAAAGCGCGCCCGGAGACTGTACGCCACCTTGCTGTTGTTTCCGGTGTCCAGCATGCTAAGCGCATGCAACCAAGTTCGGGCTTTGCATCGGTGAGTCCGGGTCGCATCTGCCAACGATGCTTCAACCCCCGCGGTTTCCTGCATAGGTGGCGGCAGACATTGAGCCGCTAGAGTACACGCCGAAGCCGGAGTGCCCTCTGAGAGTTTTCCGGCAAACCATCGTCGGAGGTTCAGGTACCCTAGAGGGGGTTACTCTCCTTGAGAACCGAGAGCAGCCCGAAGCTCAGCCGCTGTTTCAATCTCGCACCTGAGGCCCGGAGTCTGAACGTAGTAAGCCCAGCCCACATTGGTGCAATGCTCTTCTCAGTTTCTGCTCTCTTAGGTTCTACTACTGCTGTTTAGCTGCAACGATGATCGGAAGATTTTATGTTCCCGGCACTCCAGCACTTCAGCAAAACTTGGATTCTGTGACGCTTCGCAATTTCCCAGCACATGTTCAAGCTTGAGCCTTTCGCCGCTGTAACGAAACGATTGCACTACACCTTCTCGAACAACAGGTACGAGGGCGTCTTCCAGACTTACAATGAGGAGGATGAGGCGATCATATTTGTGCTTGTTCGGTCTGTGTCTCGCTCTCTAATTGTTTGTTATATGATGTTGATAGAAACATACGCACGATATACATATACACATTTATATACAAACATGTGTATGTATGTATGTATGTATGTATGTTTGTTTGTTTGTTTGTTTGTTTGTATGTATATGTATGTATGTACTGTACGTAGATGTATATACAAGCATATGCCTATGTTTTATGCTTTCATTCAGTTCTGTAAGCATTGGCATGGCCTGAGAGAAGTTACCTCCTTCACTTCACAATTTAGCGGGTGAGTCGTTGCCATATTACAGCTCCATGCTTGTGGCGCAGTCGCTATAGCTATGTGTTGCTTACTTTGGACGTTTGTTCTGGTGGTGAAAGCCTCGAGCTCCTCACAGCTCATGCATTTTTCCTAGCAGAGAGCTTAGCTAACAACCTGCTCCTGGCTACTTGCAGCCTCCCATAGTAGGCTACAATCAGTCTGCAAGTCTATTGAGATGCTGTTGTCCAGTCACAAGTTCTGCATATCCATGAACATGCTGCTTCATTTACTGCAGCTTTGCCCTCTTGTGTGAAAACGTATGTGCTGAAGCAGCTTTTGCGGTCGGCGCACTTCGAATCTGAGGTATGTAGGTCCATCGTGCCACATTTCTGCAATCGGATTCTCTTGAGTCTGTCCACGACCTTTAGGCCGGCCTGCTGCGGCGCTTCTTCGCACTGATGCGGGAGACCTGCCCCCATGTGATGGCTTGTGGGCCCAGACGAAACACGAGAGTTGAAGCATGTTCAACCTTGGTCGTCGCTCTTGTGCAAACTAGTCGAGTAAACCAAGTCATGCTGATAGGTGATGGTACTGTCTACCCTCCGGCGTTTAAATTGCTAGCTCTGCCAAGTTTCGTTGTTGGTAAGCCCTCTTCCGCGCCGCCGACTGCACTCTACGTCCTGTCATCATTGTCGTTGGTGTTGGTGGTGGTGGTGG